TATAATGTCAGTGTAAATGGATGCCACATCTAAAGAGAAATTCCTAAAATAGAAATTGTGCAAGTCATATTATTATTAAAGTTTCTTGATGCGTTAAAGCAGATGAAGGAATCTGAAAAGGCGAATTTAACTTTTTTCGAACATTTGGAAATAAAGGCGGAACCGACTCGAGCTCTAAAAATACTTATTTGTCACGGTCTTGCCTCGGGTTACACACCAGAGGTTCGACGTGGAGATTCTGCAAGCAAACTGCCATTTTCCTTCACTAGTTTAACGCGTCACTTCAGTGTATTTGTCGACTTTGTTGTATAAAGCTTAGCTTTCTTCTACTAAGCAAGCAATAAAACTGTGCTCTGCAATATTGCAACGCCAAAACATTATATGCATGTGTACATATATATTATAAAGCCACTCGCTTAAGGCGAATCTGCAGGGGTTCTCCATATCTCAACGCCTAATTAAGCGAAATTCCTGAAGAAACAATGTGACAAAGGCAATCAGTGGCAACAACTACAAACACAACGGCGCACTCGGGCAGTGCTCAAGCACCGTGATTTTAAATTAGCATAATCGGTATAATTTAATTATAATTTATTGATCTGCTACAGCTTTACTCTGTCATTCACTGTTGTTCCACTGCGCCGACGCTGCGACCTAGCGTGAACCGCAGCTTGGTAGTTTGTTTTTTCGGCCGTTGGAATTTTTTTTAATAATATAGTGAAATATGACACATGGGCGCGTTCCAAAGCCATATCGTATGGGCATCACATTAATTGAGCAGCACGCTGTTGCTTAGGGGTAGACGAGGCGGTGGCGGTACAGGCGTTGAAGGCGTTTTTGTTTATGAGCTGTAAAAATGAACATTTTATTGTCAGCGGTTGCGGATTAAGTGTTGTCTCTTCGATTGTTTTTTAATCGAAGAGGTGGAGAAAACATTGCTAAACCGTCGGCTTACTTAGCTCAGAGCTATTGAAGAAAGTATTTATTTGCCTACCAGGTAGTTAATATATATGATCATTGGTTTTCAATATTTTTTTAAATTAAAATGGAAACTCCAACACATTTTTTTTTTGTTGTATGCAAATAGATAGATGTTTGGTGTGTTGTGGTTTTGTAGCTTTGTGGTTAGGCCGCCTCGGTTCGGCGAGTTGCCGTGCGCCAGCGTACTATCCGGGGTATCGCGGCAGTCAGTGTGGCGGCAATCGACAAGTCAAATATGCCTGTCTACAGCAGCATCCGCAGACGATTTGTCACCAGACCAACGAGCAACTTGTCGTGGCCAACGAAAAAGTAAGCTTCACTCACCTTAAAGCTTGCTTACTGTGCGATTGTGGTTAGAACGGTGTAGCTGGTGTGTGTGGGGAAGTGAGTGTGGCATACAGGAAAGGACGCGTGAGCTATTTCCGCTCTTACCATTCTGATTCACGCCAAATGTTAGAAAGCAATTTATGTGCACTAGATTTCTCATGTGTTGATGAACAACATCAGATTTATTGGACGCAAGAACTTGAAGGAAAGGGTTGAATCGACATATGTTAGGTGAAAATGGTATTAGTAGTGGTGGAATACATATAAGAGCAAGCAAGTGTATTAGTGCTTAAGTTAACAGAATGGCATATAGCTTTAAGCGTCTTATACTTTTTTCATCGATAGCTCATATAACTATGTAATTTCCCTTTCAGTTCTTGAAAATAAGAAGTGTAATTTTTAGAATCAATTGGCGTGCTTCAGCTCTCAACTTCATGAAATATGTGAAGTAAAATTTGATAATTTCTGTATATGTATATACGTTAGTTTTCCAGATAACAAAAAATGCTAAAATAAGAAGGAACGTTAACTTCGGTTGCATCCAAATTATATTACTCAAATTACAAAAGATTCCTTACAATGTTTTGTTTTGGATCGATTAGTTTTTATGGCAGCGATTCCGACAAATAAGTAGTTTTTTGAGCAGAAAATGACGTGAGCAGAATTTCGGATTGATATCTCAAAAACTAAGGGACTATTTAGCGTACATACAGACAGACGGACAGGCAGACGGATGGACAGACTGACATGGTTTATGCTAATAATTTATTCATATATATATATAATAGGATGTAACGCATAAAAAAATTGTTATTGCTTAGCCTGAGGGCAAAATTTTTAGATATAAAAAAGGAAAATTTTTGGAAAAAAAATTGTTCAACATCCCATTCACTTTTAAACTAAATTTCGAGTTCTGGTTTAAACTCTTCACGTTTATATAAAAGTTACCGAATTTGACTCAAAATATAATATTTTAATGCTTAAGGACAGCATTTTGTCGTTGAAGACTTATTTTAAAACTCTAATAATGACCAAAAAAATTTTGTTTAAGTTGATAACTTTTAATTTGCCAGAAATTGGACTCTCCACAGCTTCTAGAACATTTATCAAAAATTTTTTACGAAATAAAAACTTTAACTCGAAATTTACTTTAAAATTGCGTGGGCCGCATCTAGATGTTAAAAATTTTTTTTATATATTTTTTCCAAAAATTTTCTCTTTTCATAATCTACAAATTTTTGTATGTATTTTATGTATAAAAATTGTTACTGAAGTTGTCTTTAAAGCGGTAGTAATAACGATATCTCAATGTAATGTCAAAGTTGGCAAAGAAATGCAACAAAGATTTCCAAAAAAAAAAAAAGTCTCCTTTAAGTCACATTGCTTACCTACAAGTACTACAAATTTCACAGCAATATGCTCACAAATAACAAAACCTAGTTTCCTGCCAAGTAAGTGCGACAATGTGTGCGCGAGCGCATGCTCCACTTCCCATAAATTGATTTTACCTATTTTTGCATTTGTCTGCTTATTTCACTGTCTATCAATTTCGAAACGAAACAAATGTTCCGCATTGTAAAACTGTTCAATTATGTTAATAAGTCACACGCCCTTCGAAAACAAACTTTTCCAGAGTCAATTACACAAATATCCACCTACCTCCAGCCAAGCACTCGCCCACCCACCACCATCACCACAAACAAACAAAGACTGCGCATCACAATTGCGACTGCCGGTTTCGTGATGGACCTCCCTCTTAAAACCAACAACAACAACAACACTTGTGTAGAAAGCATTTGTGTGGAAAAGTTGAACGATAAGCGGAAGGAAACATAAATTTAGCTACAAAAAGTATAACTTCATTGTGGGTCGCCTTGAGTGCGTTGGGTGGGGTGCGGGTCGGTTCGTTGTCGTTCGCTGTTGTAAAAGTCAATTCAACACCAATTAGGGATGATCATCGCCACTTCTGGGGTCGCCTGGGGTGTCATTTGTTATTTCTCTAGTCGCCGAGTTGCTGCTTGCCGCTGAGATAGTACCGTTGTAATTGTGTTGTTGTTCGCCGCTGGCATGGAGTGCAGCTCGTCATAAATTCAACAACAAACGAACAAATAAGCCAAATCAAGCAGTGGGCTTCCACAGGATACGCGCGCATATTGGCAACAGGATATGCAAACAATAAACAATTTATGTGCGCGCAGAAGTGTAGATGAAGTGACGCGAGGGTGGGCTGTCGTATGTGACAAGTGTGTGCATGTGTGTGTGTGCCTCGCACACCATTGAGCAAACAACAAAAGCAATCAAGCGATTGAGGATGCTGCGAGTAAGGTGAGCTGGTGTTGCGCAACAACAATTACAACAACAACAACAATAACGCACTATGGAAGATAATATAGTCAATAGCGCATTGCACTTGCCGCTTACCGCCGCACTCGTAGCAATTTGGGGTATATCCAGCATATGACATTCGTCGCTCCGCCTGCGTGGGGTGAGTCGCCGCGGTCGAATTGTGTTAAACATGAATTATGAATTGTTATTGAGATTGATAACACTGTTACGCCTGTGAGTGCTGCACCTTGTGTTGTTTGTGTTATGTTAACGGTGGTGTTAGTAGCGAGTATAACTGTGTGTCTTTGCTTGTTCGTTTGCTTTGCCCTGGCATCGCTGTCTTTATGTCACTACACTTATGTAATGCTTATGTTTGCCATTTGTATTGAAATTATGTTGAGTAATTGGCCAACCGTACAGCCAGAGCAGGGACTTGTAGCTCATGCAAGGGGTTGCGCACCCACCCAGTCACTGTGGGCCGCTTATGGCTACTTAGGGGTTGTAATCACAGCTTGTTGGCGCTGTTGCCGGCGCGGATTAAACCACTTTATGCGGTTAATATTTATTGCCAACAATTGTGTCATACACTCAGATTCGGCCGTAAAAATTCATTTTCTGATTGCAAGCACTTGCTGGTGTGTAATTGGGTTCGTGTTCGTACCACTTGTAAGCTAAACGCTGTGTGAGTGCGTGTGTGTGTGCTTAGGGGTGTGCTTGTGTGGCACAGCAAGTGCTGGTTGTTTGCTAATTTGGACATAATTTGTGTGCATTTTGTAATTTCGGATTGGAATTGAGTTGTTTGTTTTGGTGTTACGAGATTAATGGCCTTGCAAATGCGATATTTTTACATACGTTCACATTAACACAACTGCTGGGTGACATACTTACAAACACAATTTATAGTGATATAAATCTTGCTATACGCTTTGATGAAGCTTACTAATATAGAAGGACTTTGTGAAAATTTTTTTTCATGAAAGAATTCTTAGAAGCGATTTTGATGATAAATTCGAGACAAGCAAGGTCTATGTAAGCGGTAGAGTGTATGTTCCTCGCACCAATACACCACGGTGGTCGAGTCGGTATTATTCATAATTATTCTATAGCTTATTTATAGACAGTTCCTCAATACTCAATAGTTTTCTAAATTTCGCTCTCCTGTCTTTGGTTGTCGAAAATCCTGCTACTATTTTTTTGGAAATTAAGTCCTAACTAATATTATAATATATATGATTGTTTATAACGCTTTCATGCCGAAACTACGTAACCGGTCATCACGACACTTTGCACATATAATATATGTCTTATGGTATTGGAAAGGACATAGAATATTTTTTACTAAAAACTAAATTTATTTCTTACGAATTCTGAAAAAATTATTATAGCAAATCATTCCTGTTTGTAAATAAAATTTGAAAATTGAAAAAAAATTAGTTTGCAGATATGATTGTTTGACGAAAAATCTCAAAATGTAACAAAACAAAAACGCTTTATTGGCGTAAATCAGAGAAATTTGGGCTTTCCGGTTACCACCACCAACACGCGGATGATCATCGCGATATACTATTCGTGTACATTATGCATTTAGTTACTTGTTTTTATTAATAATCTTTGATATTTATTTAAGGGATTCAATGCCGCGGAAAGAACTAGTAAACTATCAATACGCATTATCAATCAACATCTTCGATTTATTCAAATATATACTAAAATTTGCAGCGTATGTATATATAATATATTCTAGATATATGTAAAAGTTGTGGAATAACAAAGAGGCATTGAAATTAAATTCAGATTCTGAATGAAGTTCACTAACGGATCTTGAGTACGGATTCTTTCTTGAATAGACCGCAGAGCTCTAAATGTCTCGATTTGGTGAAAATAATTACATTAACACACTTCGTTTTGTATTTTATGTGCTTGTTTATGTAGCGTAATCCGATTTAATATTCGCGTATATGTCTATGTGTATGTATGTGGCTTTGAACTTTTTCATGCTTTCTGCCACCATAACTTATGTATTTATTCAAACTAAGTATTATTTACAAGTTCGAATAAAATAATCTTTCTGCGCTTACAAAACGCATGTAATAACTATATTTGGGCCTTTTAAATGGGTTAACATGAATTTTTCTATCATGCTTCTACTGTGCGCGTGGATTACACCAGTTTTAGATTTCCAAAAGCCGTAACAAATGTATCAACAAACAGTTTACGATTTCCTTTTTGTTTTCGTTCAGCGTCGTCGCGCACACAAAAGCGTTGTCTCGACTAAAACTGGTAGGTATTCAAAGTGATTGTCAAAACATCTCATCAATAGCCGCAGCGGCTCATAAAATGTGTGACAAATGGATCGCGCTCGGAACTCATTAGTTGATATAATGTTCTATTTACATATACATTTATAAAACATACATACATACATTTATGTCAGAGTATATAAAGTTACTATTTATGAAAACGACAGCTTGGTGAAATGAACCGAAGGCGACACTAGCTTCAGAGCCACCATCGACGACTCATTAAACGACAATAAACACAAAAGCGCAACAGGAAGTTTGATTCTCTTTGAAATAACCAAATATTTACAAAACAAAATGTAAATCAATGTGCCGTCCAAAGCGGGCATTGTATCTGTACGCCGCTCGGTGTATAGGTGTATCGTTGGCATTTCTGGTGATTGGCAGTAGGTGCGGTAGGTAGAACAGAGAGGGATGCCTATTTGTAGATGAATGAACCAATAAATGTTGAATGAGCCACATTTTCATGCAAATGAATTGGCTAGCACAACAATCACAGCAACAACAAACGAGCGTCACTGTGGCTCGAGATGCTGGGCGGCCAAAAGCGCGTTTGTATCGTCGAATTGTTTCGACATGAGCAATGCAATTGTTGGAAACTACCGAACAACCGAACTCAGTGAATGAGTTTGCATGGGCAGACACTTTGCTGCAGTGGTAGGTGCATTTTATGGTGGTTGAATGGTGAATGCGCATCGTAAAATCATGGTGTGGGCTCTAAGCCGCGGTCGTTGCACACAACGATTTCTAGAGAATGCTAATCCAAATGAATAGCTTCCTTAATGGCCCAGCCGCTGAACGGCCGGCTGCTCGGCACTTGGTATAGTCGTTGGCCGCAGTGCCAGAACTCCGATCATTTTGGTGTTTCGAAAACTAGAAAAGTTGCTTAAATATATGAAATGTTATTGCAAGTTGCACACAAAACCAAATAAGACAACAACAAGTGCGGCACATTCGAATATTGCTTGTAGCATGCACGTGTTGGAGGTGTGATGCATATATCTGGAGTCATATATGTTTGAATTCGTAAACACATTCAAGCCTTAGACTTTGTCTTTTTTTGTGGAACGTAAACACCGCAAGCATACAGCATACATGTGTCTATTTACACACACACGCATGTGTGTCAAATGACAATGTGTGCGCATGCGCGTTGTTGCTGCTGACATTGAGCATCGTCATAAATTTGCAGCTTATTACCAATAATTTCAAGTGGCTTGTTAACAATTTAACACGTCTTAATCGTAAAATTTGTGGTGCTGTGTCTCCAAAATGCGAAGTATGCCAAAATGCGGGGATAACAACGGCGACAACAAGCTCAAATTGCTTGAATATAAAATCATTGCTGTTTGACAGTTTTGAAGGTGTGAATACGTGAATTAAAATGCAAATACAAATGCAAACGCAATGAATTGCAAGCACATAAAGCGTCGAGTTCCCTTAAGCAAAAGCACAACATCACAGAGGGCACAATTTGGTTGCCACATTTGGTTGTAATATGCAGTTTCGTGTCGGAGCTCAGTCGAAGCCTTCTATAAATGATAAGAAAAATCATGTTAACGTCGATTGACAGTTAATAATGATATGCATTGCCTGCATTTGTGAGCGAAACTCGTAGGCTGCACTGCACAGTGGAACAAATGGCTCCAAAATTTAATGAAAAATTTATAGGAGAAATTGTGTTCGAACTGTAGTAAGAAAAATTTTGACTCTTTAACTAGATTTTTAAAAATATGCTAGTACATTGACTGCTCAAAAAAATTCCACTTTATTAGTATAAATTTTGGTTATTCCGCGCGCATATTAAATATCGAACGATTTCTTCATTCTCTAATGCACTACAATGCCTGCCTATCTCAATCTATTGTGTATAGTCAAATCTATAAATTCTAAATAAATGATTTGCGTTTTTAAACACTGTGCTTATTTGGTCACCAACTCCTGACGCTCTGCTCAGCAGCAGGTTACTGACTAACTCGCTACAAAAGACTTAAGTCATAAACTTTATGACGTTTCGCTAAATAACACGCCAAAACACACACATATCTACAAAATACCACGGGTCCGCGCGTGTGTGTGTGTGTGGCTGGTGTCATCAACATAACAAATCGATTTGTGTTTTGTATCGATTTGACTCCGCGCCTCACATCGGCTGTCTTGCAAGCACACTCGCCTGACTTGAGCGCTCATTTAAGCTGGTCGCTGTTGTTGCTATTTGGCCGTTGCACTTTTGTTTGTTGTTATTGCTGCCATTTTATTGTGTGTCATTTGCATACACGCATCCATTGTGATCATTTTCATTTCCATGTCCGTCCAACTTGTCCAGCTCACTGTGCGCTTCTGCTGCTTCTGCCGTCCTAGTCATACACACACATACACACAGATATGCATTGCTTGTTTTTGTTGGTTAGCAAATTCCCAGAAGATTTTAATCTTCTACACGTTCACAGTTTGTTCGGCAATCAATGCGTTTTGCACACACTAAATTGCTGATTTCACCTCAGCCACAGCACAGCACACCTCAGCGCGCCTCACCTGCTCGCCACGGCCGTTTGCTTGTGTCGTTGTTGGCCTCAGCTGCGTCTTACCAAGACCCTTTGTAATTGTCCTGCTAAGGTGTTGTTGCCGTTGTTCAATACCGATTTTTATGACTTGTCGTGTCTGATAATTTTCTGATTTTAATGTGCGAAATTAAACATCACATTTTTCAACACGCCATTGCCACCAACACCAGCCCAAGCCGTAAATATGCGCTACAGCAGTGACTTAAATAACTGCGGGAATTGAAAGATCAGGACTTATTTTTATTCACTTAGTTTTTCAAAGCATCTGAGAGTCGGTTGTTATTGCGGTTATATGCTAGCGAAATTTGCTTAGTCAGTCGCTCGTCATTAGTTGCGCTGTCTAGACACAGTTGATACTTACTAATGATTTCCTACTTCCTCTGATTGCTGATCAGCTTCGCCCCTACACACCCATCATAAGATATTCATTTCACTTGCCGCACGCGCTTTCGAGGTGTGACTCTAAGCCATCGGATATAGATTTCCACAATTGATAAGGTTCAACCGAAGTCTTGGCTGGTGTTGTGCGCACAAATTCTAGCTGCCGTGAGCTCGACGCGCCCTTTTGTCTGTTGCTACGAAATCGATCCATAGATTCGAGCAATACCTCTTCTTTCTCTTTTCAGTTCTTGGCTTTCTTTCCTTCTCATTGTTCAACAAATGTTACTCTTAATCACGGTGGTCGATTTGTATCTGGTTTGTCGCTCATAAAAATAATGTCTTAATATCGTGCATTCTGCATTTTCTTACTCGGTAATCTTCGTTTAATATATTTTTATTCAATGCCTTTTCTGTTTTATTGCCTTTTCATATTCTTTTTTTCAAAAATTTATGATTTGTTTGCTTTAGAGTTTTGAGTTTTCTTTGTGACATTTTGCTTTGTTGCTGTGAAAGTGTAATATTGTGACACTTTTTATTGTTGGAGAAGGATTTACTTAAAATTTTATGTTTCAATTCCGGTCGAAAGGGATATTTCATTGTTTACCTCGTTGTCATTGTTGTTGTTCGCTTGGAAATTCTAAGTGCGCAGTTGTTTGGAAATGTCACAATACAAATGCACATATTTTATAGTTTCACATAAAAGTGAGGTCTTTATGGTTTATTAAGCTTTCATACAACCGCACTGTGTTTGCCTAACAAGGGAATTTAAATATAAGTATACTTGTGATAAATAAGTATCATAAACACTATCGTCTTGCGCATGAAAAATTTGAAAATATCTGAAATTAAGCAGTTGAACTCGTTGGGAAGCTGTCTTTTCAATAATGCAACGATAAAACGATTTAATGACAGAGGAAAAAGGTATTTAAATCTTAAATATTTTGTGGTCATATTTATTAAAGGGGGACAAAACTCTGAAAATGTTGAATTGAAAGAAATTTTTCCCAAAAGTAAATCCAAAGATTGCGAATATAAGTTCAAATATGGTTACTGATTTAGTTCTAGTCCTGAAGTGTACCAAATAATTTGCTCGACTGACCTGATTAAAAATGTATGTATTTTTTCGGATTTGGTATAATTGCATATTTCACAAACTGAAAATTGCTTTTGAACCAAATTTTCTTAAGGAGTTACATGGGTTTCTCAGCTTCAAAAAAAATGTATAATTATAATAAATAAATTCTATAACTACTTTAGAATATTGTCCTAAATTCTCAAGTTAATACCAGTAATAGTGCTGGAGATACAGCTTTGAAAAGTTTGGTGCTCGAGTTCAGCTACATAACTTGTACTAAACTTTAAACGTGTTTTTCTTGAAACTGTGTTTTCAACATCGGTTGTCAAGATTTCTCGTGAATTACTCAACCGATCTTAATAAAATTTTATACAGGTCTTTGGGATATAATTTACAATGGGTTGCCGCGTAGGATTATGTTTTTGTTCAATTACAACTATATAAAAAAAAAGAAATTTTCACCAAAATTTGCATATTTCTGTAATATTGTCTGCCAAAAATAGAGGACGGGAGGGGGTATTCTAGTCTAGAGACATAAATTTAAGGTAACTTTTAAAGTGTTGTAAAAAAAAGGCAATCAATATTTTTACGATCGTTTTTGTTTATCAGTTATTTATTTATGTTGCAAGAGTACAGAAAAAAAATTTAAAAAATAAGATAAAAATTTTAAAAGCGTCAGCTGATGAAGTGGGTAGTCTCAAAAAATTGGCCCATGAGCATACCCATGATTGCAACGCTCCTAGTCATTTAAAATGGAAAAAATTATAATCAATCTGTAAAGATGTCGCAATTGTATGAACTATGAATGAATGATAAGTAAATTTTGTTGACAAAATGGCGACTGTTTGAAACATAACGATTTTTTTTATTTTCTTGTATTTTTTAAAAATTGTAAAAATTGAAACTTGGAGATGAGGCTCGGGAGAGGTCTATAAAGAAGATTCTCTGAAAATTCCAAGTAAATCGGTCCAGTAGAACTCGAGAAATTGTGGGTATCGTATTGAAAAAGTATGGTATGAGAATAAACGCATTTAAACGCCGTGTCAGTAAAATGTCTATATCTCCGAAACTAATTAAAAATTTCAAAAATCCTCTCGTAGACATATTTTTAAATAGTTAAACTTTGAAAATATGAAGAAAATATTTTTTTTTTGATACTCTACACTAGAATATGTATGTAACCCCTTAACAAAAAGCTTAAGAAAATTTTGTCTACTATAAAACGATTTAGTATAAAATCTAACCTATGTACTTATATATGACGTATAGTATGTACTGACCACCTAAACACCAAAATGTCGCAATCGGTCCGAAGCATGAATATTGAATGGGCCTGAAATCCATTTCGAAAGATATTTTTGATTTCGAGTATTTAACGCTCGATTCAGCTGGAACTTAACTGTTCATTTCATGTTTTCGTTGGTAATCAAACTGTGCTTGGAGGCTGAGGTCATTTGATAGGCCTGATAGGTTTTGAATTAGAGACACTGCTCCTTAACCCCACAAAGCATTTTGTGTTAACTAGCAGTAAATTAGTTTAATGTCATATATTTCATTATTCATAATTAATTCAAGAAACTAAATACTAAATGAGTTGATAAAGTTTCAATTTCCAAGCGAAATATAAATCATTAAATTTGTTCAAAAGCTAAGAGTGAAAAACTGAAAGATTTAATTGTGATTTGGCGAATTAATTTTAAAAAATAAATTATTTATTAAAAGCCCTATTGCTATGTGTATACGACACAGTGACAACAACAAATATGCAAATGCCAAATATAGCTTGCGGTGAAGCTGCCAGCTCAACTCGCCAAGTTGACACATGGCGAATATTATGATAATAATTTATAATTAATTTGCAAGCATTTTGCTCATTTAATTATATATAAGTGAAATATTAGCTAATATGAGTAAAACAATTAAAACTGAGCGAAATCGCTTCACACGATCGCGTCAACAATTTGCATTTAAATTTGTTGGCACTTTAGTGCTGCATATTTGCCATTGAAGCTGCAGCATTTTGCGGCATATTCGAATGCACACACACACTTGCACTTGCACTTATGTATGTGTAAGCGCCAGCATACACATGCGCTTATGAAGGTCTGCTTGCAGCTTGGACGTGTGTGGTTATGTGTGCGCATGTCAGAGCTATTAAGTAATTATTTAATTTTTGCAATTTTATTGTTGCACCGAAATGCATGGGATGCGAAGCCAGAAAACTGGACGATCAAGCGTCGCGGCGCTGCCAGCGATCAACGCGCGGCAAGCGTGTGTGTGCGGGTTGTTGAAAGTTGTTTGATTGATGGTGTTGTCAATTGACAGGCGACACTTTACAATTCTGCGTTGCGCACCCGATTGATTTATACACTGTATGTTTGTACATCTGTGGGCATAAACCTGTCGCAGTTAGTTATTAGTCTTTTTGCTTACATAATCAGCTGTGCTTAATTATAAACAGCCACGGAGCGCTTTTGTGGCTGTAAACTTCGCATTTGCTCAAATTACTTAATTTTTATT